GTTGTAAATCCAATGCTATCATACGAAGAACCGCTTTGTCCAGTTGGAGCTTGCGATTTGAGTCAGAACTATATGAGGGGTCACGCTCAAAATACTTTTGTATGTTTGTTCCCAAATCAGGCTCTTGCATTTCCAATTGCTCTTTATGTGAATTTCGTAAATGGTGGAAAAGGTTGGTTGTATTGCCCTTCGTTTTAATATACGCACCGCAATATTTACAAATCGACGTTTGAGAATCCTTACATTTTTTAAAGTGATTCCAAACAATGGATGGCTCCTTTCTCCTCTTGGGGCTATCAATATTTTTTTCTTCCTTCTCCACACAGTTTTTCTTCGATGAAACTATAAACAGGGAAATATTTATTGACGCTTCAATTTCGCCGAATTCATAACAAACAATTACAACCTAAACGAGGACGTGTTTATTTCGTAAATATGTACAAGCATATGCATGTATACATACATATGTATGCACATATATACATACATACAAATATATTTCATGTTTACTTACTTTGTAGATATTTATCCATTGTATGCATCCACACTTCTTGTCAACACCACTACTTCCAAAACTATTACAATTAATAAATCAGAAAACTGGGACATTTTTCTTGCTGTTAGTTTGCTGTCGAATTTCCAAAAAGCACCCGATTATCGATATTGGCAAATAAAACATCGATGTTTTCGATATTGCCCAAATATCGATACATCGATGTTAACATCGATGTTTTTTCCAGCTCTAATTTGACCATCTCGCCCCATTCAGCTAGTAGTGGCATCTGGGCGCTGAAAAACATGAGTTGTCCGATCGTTTTCATGTTTAAAACTAGCAGGTATTGCCCGTCTTAGTCTGTACATATGTTTAAAACTAGCAGGTATTGCCCGTCTTAACCCGGCTCAATATAATGTTTCCAATTGTATTTATTTTGTGTGTGCATAACCTTTGTGGTTATCTGTCCGTATGCCAAGTTTCATCATGATAGGTTAATCCTGAAGAAAGTTACAGCAATAAATAAAATCACTGTCCATGCTCTGCCAGCAGCTCTGCCCGCAGCTGTTGTTGTTGTTGCTGCTTTGGTTCAAGTTTCTGCTGCATTCATACACGCATATAAATACAAAGAGACACAATTCTGATGTAAATGTATGCTGTTAAAACTGTACATGAACATGTCTCCACTTTTGTATATATGTATTGAATAATTTGTATTTAATTTAATTAACTAATTTAATTAATATAATTTTTTAAAATTAATTTTTAAAAATGTTTTTTTTTTTCTTTTTGGTGGGCATTCAGCATTCCTTTCTTGTTTTTTCTAATGATCATAAACCTAATTGTTAGGAAATGTTTGCATAATTCATCGAAGATGTATAGTATTTAATAAGTTTTAATCTGAACTGGTCACCAAATGCTGTTCCTCTGGTTATGGACAACATTAAGCCACAAGCGAGTTCATTAGCCAGATCCAGCACATTCACATTCAACAAGCGCACAGACGTCGCGAGTGAAGAGGCATTCAATGAAAACGCACATAGGCAATTGCTGGCTAACTGCTCCACGCCCCGTTTACCTCTCCGACGGAATGACTGACTGACTGGGTGAGTTGCGCGCAGTACCTCCTTGCCCAAGTCTGTTCAATATGGGCTGCACTCATATCCCTGCATCTGCTGCTCTCGCTTTTGCATTCACCTACACCGGGTGTCACGCACAAAGAGAAAGCGTTGATAAAGCTTTCAGAGGCAGAATGAGATGAGGCAGTATGCAAAAAGCATAGACTGCGTGCTGCTTTTGTTTGGTTGCCATGTATCTGCCGCGCTGCAGACAACAGCAATAACTGCTTCAGAATGAGCCGCATGCCGTTTTACTACCAAGACTTGTGTGCGCTACTTGTTCAGAAGTAGCAGCCGAAAAATTTTCCAATTTATTACACCCACAAGTCATAAGGCGTGCCAGCCTCGATCCCAGCCATGGACCCAGACCCAGGCCACATCAATCATTTATCAGCGGACCTGGGACGCAGCAGACCGTTGCACCATGCACTAAATGTACATTTTTGGTTAAACATTGGCTTAAATTTTGCGGCATCATTGCAGACCACCAGGCAACCCAGGTCAGCATCTAGCCCATTCACCACCATTCCCTTGCCTGCCCATCACTGTCAACAACACGGCGGAAGCAACGGCGGTGGCGTCGGTGGCCGCGGGTGCCGTCATGTTATACTCGTATACAAAATCAACAAGGCTTCAGTTCATCGACCACTTAATTTATCCAGCTGAGCTTTGAGTAAAGCGCATTTATGTGTGCAATGGAGTATGTATGTCTGTGTATATGCATGTACGAGTACATGTATATGTTCGGAACGTTAACAAAGTGAGGCGGTTGCCACGCCCTGGTTGCCTGGCTCCTGGTTGCCTAGCTGCTGACTGCCTGGGTGCCTGTCCTATAGTCGGGGACATGCCTTTGGCTTGCCATACACCCACACACATACATACACTGAGCACCAGAGTTCAGACAGAGAAATGCACTTAATTGTTGATGCTGCCGACTCCTGCTACCGAATGTTTAGCCAGCCCCGACCGTGCATTACAATTAAAAAATCAGCCAGCCAAAATAAAATGCAGCATGCATTTAGACAGCCCAAAAGCGGGACAGGGGCAGAGTCGACAGCCCATTATGCCTGCGATGGCAGCCATACTCATTCATTATGCATTAATGTAAATACGGTAAATGTTGTCCAATCATTAACATAATTGAATTACAAACAAGCGCTGAGCGCGCGCCCAAATTGGGGCGTCGGCCGCGCGCATGCATAAATCGCAATTTTAATTACTTGCTTGACTAATGGATTGTGTGCTGGTTAACTTGAGCGGCGTGGGGCGAGCTATGGCGTTCACGGGCCCAAATAAGTACAAATCCACATATTTTTAATATACGTGTCCTACAACATTTCAGAATGCAGGAAGCTGACACCAAAACGTCCTTACACTTATGTATTTTCTCGCATATTTCCTATGCTATTAAGCAATTGAATTTTGTAGCTAAAAGCTTCAATCATTTTCGATTGCCACAAACTAATGGTTTAATATAAAATATTCATGCGACATGCTGGGGAGGCACACAGGAAAGCAATCAGGTAGCAGACAGCCCATAGAAAGAGCCAATGGGCCGAGTTAATGACAGCTCGTGCTGATGACCCAATACAGGGCCGGGGCAACGGCATGGATACTGACCATTTCTGTGGGGAATAAATTACTTTTTTTTTCCTCTTTTCCGCCCAATAAAAATGAAAAAATAGGGAATGAAATATAGTATCCAACAAAGTTCTGCTGCTATTCATAGCATTTTTGGTATTGATTTGTTTGGACTGCGGCTTTGGGATGGCTTGATTCTCTAGGTTAGACATGGCATAAGCCTTCAATTAAGTTTTATTTTAATGCATTTAATGGCAACTTAGCCACAGTCGGGTAACGGTATTACTCATTTTCCTTAAACAAAAACATGTCTACAACACGTAGTGCTTATCTGCGCATTGAATGGGGAGAGGAATGTGTAGCAGTGCATGGGCGCTGTACTAAGTGATAGCCAGTGTTCGCCTGGCAAATGTACGGGTGCGATTTAAGTTTTAACCATGCATGAAGTGCCACGGGATGTGGCTACCCGCTTGTTGGTAAGATCCAATGCGTTACAACGTGTCATAGATATAAATGAGCGAAAGGCTGTAATTCTACACAGTCGAGTAAGCCTGACACTAAAATACCCTGTACATCCTCTTACAGAAAAGGAAAATATAAAATAAATTTAAAACATGAAAGGAATGCTAAACAAGATAGCACGCTACAGTCGAGTAAGTCCGACAGTAAAATAGCCTGTACTCTCCACAAAAAAGAAAAATTACAACAACAAAAATTAAAAAATTTAAATTATTAAAAAAATTAATTAATTAATCAATTATTTAAAATAAATTAGAATACATGTTTATGTTCAGTTTTAACAGCATACATTTACACCACGTACCTATGCGTGTTTATATGCGTGTATGTATGCAGCAATAAGTTGAACCAATGCAGCAACATCAACAACAGCTGCGGGCAGAGCTGCCGACAGAGCTGCAGGCAGCGCATGAGCAGCGATTTTACTTATGGCTATAACTTTCTTCAGAATTGACCTATCATCATGGCACACGGACACATTAGTACTAACTGGATGTACCTACCAAAATTGATTTCAAAATTCCGAGAATTACGAAAGTTATAAGAAAAAACACGAATTGCGGGGGAGTAGGGGGGTGTATCAGAAAAAATAAACAAACTCGATCTGCCAAGGGCTTATAGGAACTTTGATACCAATTTTGGTTATCCTAGCTCTTGTACTTACTGAGATCCTTGCGCTCATACAGACGGACGGACGGACATGGGTATATCGACTCGGCTTGTCATCCTGATCAAGAATATATATACTTTGTGGGGTGTGCCATGCCTCCTTCTATGTGTTCCATGTGCACTCGCCCAAAACTAATATACCCTTTGAGTACAGAGTATAAATATATTTAAGTAAATAAATAAATAAATTTAATTAAATATAAAATATTCAACACATGAATACATTCATAAAGGGTTTTCTAGAATTTCTACAGCATACATAAGTATGTACATTTACATCAGAATCGTATACATATGCGTGTTTGTGTACTTTTTTTTGATCGATTTTGATAAAGAATATACATTATCGGGTTGAAGAAGATTCTTTCTGCTGTTACATACTTGACACAAACCTGAAAAATCTCTCTGACGGAGCTTTACAAATTAACTCGCTCGCCTTGTCTAATAAATAAGATACTTTGTAGGTCTACCACGCCCCTTTCCATGTGTTACGTGCACACTCGCACAGAAAGAATTTAGCCTTTTACCCTTTGGGTATAGCTTATAAAAATAAATATGAAAATCTTATAAATATTTATTTGTTGGATAACCTCTCAGCACAACTATCCGATTTTTTGCAGATGAACCGGGCTTTACATCTGAAGCCAGCTGAAAATGAAAGTCGCAGTGGTAAGTACTCTAATTCTTGAATTTTTAATGAAACAAGTAGAGCAGCGAAAGTCGGGTGTCCCGACTTTGAAATACTCTCTACATATGTGTAGCATAATTATGTCTCATGTTCCTGGGCAAAGCAGTAACAACAACAACAGCTGCGGGCACTGCTTCATCATGTATACATATATGGCTATAACTTCTTGAATCGGCCTATCATTATTAAACTTGGCATACGAACTCATAGTCGCTATCTCATATCGCTATCGAATTTCATTGAAAAATTCCAAGAAATACCGGAGTTATGGGAAATCATTAATTGCAAGGGAGAGCGGTGAGGGAGGGAAATTCCGAAATACATATTTTCTGCGTATTCACATAAGGCATCTGCGACAAAAATTTGGTGTCCCTAGCTCTTATAGTCTTCGAGATATAGGTGATTATACGAACGGCGTTTTCAAAAATCCCCCATAGGGGGGAAGTGGGGAAATTCAAAAAAATAAAACAAAATCGAGAAGCGTACATACTTAAGGCATATTTGTGCAAAATTTGGTGTCTCTATCTGTTATAGTCTCTGAGATGCAGGTGTTCATCGGACAGACAGACATAGACATATGTGTAGACTCGTCTTATTATGCCGATCAAGAATATATATAATTTTTGGGGTCTGCCACGCGTCCTTCTGCCTGTTCCTTTTTTAGCTCGCGCAAACCTAATATCTTGTACATTTTCGGACTTAGGAGAATCTGGATACAGAGTTTAGTTGTTCTAGCTCTTATACTTTCTGAGATCCTTCACACAGACGGACAGACGGACATGGCTATACACTTTGTGGGGTCTGCATGCATTCGCACTAAACTAGTATACCCTTTCACCCTTGGGTACAGGGTATAAAAATAGTTACATTTGGCCACTGCCATTCTAAGACTCAAACATTCCTTTTGCTGAATTCACATCACGATCTTGACCCCTCCTATACACAATATTTTGCGTCGAGCGTTTGAAAACTTGGTGCTTGCACCTTTTAAGAATGTTGCCCGTTCTCAACACTTACTCCACACACGTCATCAAAAATACCGTAGCCCTTCGATAAACTGTCAAAACAGTCTGAAAAATTTGACATGTTGAAAAAACGACACTAGCGAAGGAGAAATGTGGAAAAAATTATAGCAAAACAACGTGAGACTGTCAATTGCAGGCTTCAGACCCATCGCGTTACCATTTCCATGAAATATGAAGCTTGTTTTTTGCTGCAAATCCGGCGGTAGCCAAGGGCGCCATATTGTTTTTACTACCCACATGATGTGGGGATGCCATTGCAGAGCTTAGAATGTTTTACGGTTGTTTGTGACAGACAACAAACAAAAAACAAAAAATAGATTTGCATAATTTACGTGTCAAAAAAAAAAACCACAACAAAGCACTTCAAGTCGTTTTTGATTTGTTATAAGTCTATTTACAGACTCATTATGATAGTAATATGATGAAAACAGATAGCTACTGATCTAACGTCTGATCATCTTATTTTTGTGAGTCTAATCACACCATGATCTTTGGTTACACCTATGGCTTAAAATATGTGCTGGGCTTTCGAACAATCGACAATATTGAGTGGGCTGTCCACTAAGTTAGTGCACTATTTAAGACATTTGCCGATGTCAGCGCTTATCAAAAAAAATGACGGATAGTCCATTGCACAAATTACTTCTGCACACGCACAAGGAAGGTTGAAGTTGCTGCGTAGCACAGTGGTCCAAAGTGTCAGTCATGGGAATAAAATAGATCTTAAGGTTATATAGGTATAACTAGTTCTGAATGGAATGAACGCTAGACAAAATTTTATACCAAAAGAAGAAAGGAATGCTAGAGTCGAAAGGGCTCAACTCTTAAATACCTTACATGAATTTAAAATTTTAATACCTTGTACCCAAAGGGTATAAGGGTATATTAGTTTTTTGCGAGTGTACATGGATCACACAGAAGGAGGCGTGGCACACCCCACAAAGTATATATACTTATTCTTGATCAGCATGACAAGCCGAGTCGATATAGGCATGCCCGTCTGTCTGTCCGTCTGTCTGTATGAACGCAAGGATCTCAGAAAGTATAAAAGCTAGAATAACCAAACTTGGTATCTAGATTTTCCTGAGCCCGAGAAAGGACGAGTTTGTTCATTTTTTCCGATGCACCCCCCACTCCCCCTCTATTCGTGATTTTCTATAACTCCCATAATTTTGAACTAAAATTTGGTAGTCACATTAGGTTGGTGATTATATATCCGTATACCAAGTTTCATTATGATAGAATGATCGGAAAAAACGTTAAAGCCATATAACCAGGCCCAATGCACACATACATACATATGTACAAGTACACAAACACGCATAAGGCACGATTCTGATGTAAATGTATCTATGCATGAATGGAATATTTTATATTTAATTTAGTTAATTAAATTAAATTAATTAATTAATTTAATTACTTTTTTGTGGGGTGGTATAGGGTATTTAAGAGTTGAGCCTGCTCGACTTTAGCATTCCTTTCTTGTTTAAAAATCAAAGCAATAAAATAAACAAGTAAAAAAGCTAAAGTCGGGTGTCCCGACTTTGAAATACTCTGTACATATGTTTACAATAATTATAGAAAATAAAAAAATTAAGAAAATAAAAAAAAAATTTGATCGATTTTACCTCTCTCGGTATTCGAACTCACGTAAAGGGTGTATAATTGCACATTTACATAGCAATTGCGTCTGTGTGAGTGTATGTATGCCTATGCGCATCTATTCGTGTCTGTGTAAGCATTTTCGCAGTCAACCAAACAGCAACATCAACAACAGCCGCGGGCAGCGCTTGAGCAGCGCTTGAGCAGCGCTGCATCAGCAAATATATTTATGGCTATAACTTCTTGTTAAATCGGTCTATCATAATGAAATTTGGCATACGGACACATAATAACCAACTGGGGGTATTTCCAAAATTTTAGTTCGAAATTCCAAGAATTACGGGAGTTACGATTTGCATAGGAGAGGGGGGAGGGAGGGGAATTCCAAAATATACATTTTCTGCGTATTCACATAAGGCATCTGGGACTAAAATTTGGTGTTCCTAGGTCTTATAGTCTCCGAGATATAGGCGATTATACGAATGGAAAATCGGGAAAACCCCCATAGGGGGGAAGTGGGGGGGAAATCAAAAAAATAAAACAAACTCGTATAGAATACACACATAACGCATCTTTGTGCAAAATTTGGTGTCTCTATCTCTTATAGTCTCTGAGATCCAGGTGTTCATACGGACGGACAGACGGACAGACAGACAGACAGGGCTAGATCGACTCGTCTCGTCATGCTGATCAAGAATATATATACTTTGTGGGGTCTGCCACGCCTCCTTCTGCCTGTTACATTTTTCAGCTCCCGCAAACCTAATATACTCTTGTACATTTCATGTACAGAGTATAACAACAACAACTGCTGGCAGAGCATGGGCAAAGATTACATTTATGGCTACAACTTTCTTTCAAATTGACCTATCATAATAAAATTTGGCATATGGACACATAATCACTAACCGCCACCACATTTGAGTTGGAAATTCCAAGAATTATGAGAGTTATGAAAAATCACTAATTGCGTTGGAGTGGGGGGGGGGGGGGGGGGGGGGGTGATAAAAAAATAACAACCTGGCTCTGTCAAAGGCTTAGGGAAACCGGGATACCAAGTTTGGTAATTCTAGCTCTTTCGTTCATACACACGGACATGGCAATGTCGACTCATATTGTCCCGCTGATCAGGAATACTTATACTTTAAGGGGTCTGCCACGCCTCCCGCAAACATAATATCCTCTTGTACATTTCATTTACAGAATATAAAAATCAGAACTGGATTTGAATATCAGTTGTTGCATTGAATGCATTGTTTTCGAAAATATTTCTATAATTATAAAGTCTTATAGTTCATTAGCTAACATATCTAAAATACATATGTATATATACTATCGACCTGAACGCACTGTACTCTTCCGATGCTGCCATCGTCGTTGCTGTCACCTCAAAATTTGGCAAGAGCTTGACAGAGTTGATGTGTCAAATCAGCAGTAATAGCAGCTTTTTTGAGCATCTTTCTACACGGCTCTCTCCTAAGAGTGACCTTTAAACTTTTCCAAAGGACATGAAAGAACTAATCGTTACGTTGCTCACTTTATTCATTCGGTCGTTCGTTCATTTGCCACTGCTTCGATTTTTCTTCTTGGCTGTGTGGCAACAATTTAAACTTTTCTAATCCGCTGGGGATTCAAACTTCATGTTGCAGCAGCGGCAGCGACGTCGCCAATCTGTCCGCACAATTGTATGACTGTCGTTCATTCAGCAAAAGGCAAAGGCATCAACGACGCAATCAAGTCGACATTTTTGTTTGTTGCTTTGTTTGTGTATGTCTCCCACCAACCATTCCTCAAGCACTCTGTGAAAACAAATTTCTAAGAAATTAAAGCGGTTAAGTTTTGGGTACTGTGATATCAAAGTTCTACTTGGCAACCCAGCACCCCTAGCATTTGCCACTACCCCTGCCTTTACCTCAAACGCCAAAGAGTATGCTGCGACTTTCGACTTTTGCCTTTATGAGCTTTCTAGCAGACCAGCCTTTGTTGTCAGTCCAAAATGAAATTATGCAAGGACAAGTTTAATTGCTTAGGCCACACAGCCACCACGGTCGGTCAGCTGCAATCCAAGTTTCAATTTAACCATTGCATCTATACAAAATGTAAGGTACAAATGAAATATGTAATTTTAAAAACTAATATTTTATACACTTTTACCTAATTTGGTACAAAAATTGATGTTTGCTTGATGTTGAATTGTGACAATGACAGCTATTACGTATATTGTACCAATTTTGAAGAGACACTTCAGAATATAACTATCTAAAAACCTGGTCAAATTTGTTTACTAATTGGGCCGCTGATTACTATTGAATATAGTTATCTTTACAATATATTGATGACTACCAGGTCATGCCCATCATTGCTTGGCTCAATATTTGTGCTTACAAGTATAAGTTTATTTACTACTAGCAGGTATTGCACGTCTTAACCCGGCTCAATATAAAATTTCAAATTGTTTTTATTTTGTACATGACCTACCCATATGTTTTCACATTATTAGTTACCAGTAGGAAGGCATTTAAGGTATTTAAATTAACATTTTCTATTCTTGACAAAAATTGTTCAGTAGTCCGTTACATTTTTGTTCTTGCCAAAATATTTCGTTAAACGTACACACAATGAACACTATAACTTTTAACGCTCGTTTTCCCCCCTTTTGAGCTCGAATTTTCCAAAAGTACGCACCTACACTATGATGGCTACTAGAAAGGATACTTGAGTCCAAATTTCAGATTCCTAGCTTTTACCGTTTGGGCTGTGCGTTGATCACCAATCAGTTAGGACAAACTGTTTGATATATATATAGATATAAAGCACCGTTGTAAGATAAACTATGTGCAAAAAGGGGAATAATTATAGGAGTATATCCTAATTTTAAATTCAAATTTGTGTCTTTTCGTGCCTTATTGAGTCAATACGTTTACGCACGAACTTAGCACTCGTGTCTATGCTGTGCAGCGATGAGCCACGATCAAGAAGTGCTGACAATGCCCATCTCAATTTGCTAGAGTAAGACTTTCGATAGTTGAATCCACCGATACTATAGATATCGATACATCGAAGTTTGAATGCAATTAACAGAATATGTACATACATACACACATACATCTGCTCGCAAAAATGTGAACCAAAGAATAAGAGCGTGCCAATGACTTTTTGTTTTAAAAATTTCATTTATGATTATTTATTACAATTATTATACTCTGTACATGAAATGTACATGAAATGTACAGAAGTATATTAGGTTTGCGGGAGCTGAAAAATGTAACAGGCAGAAGGAGGCGTGGCAGACCTCACAAAGTATATATATTCTTGATCAGCATGACGAGACAAGTCGATTTAGCCCTGTCTGTCTGTCTGTCCGTCCGTCCGTCTCTCCGTCCGTATGATCACCTAGATCTCAGAGACTATAAGAGCTAGAGACACCAAATTTTGCACAAAGATGCCTTATGTGTGTATTCTATATGAGTTTGTTTTATTTTTTTGATTTTCCCCCCCACTTCCCCCCTATGGGGGTTTTCCCATAGCGCCGTTCGTATAATCGCCTATATCTCAGAGACTATAAGAGCTAGGGACCCCAAATGTTAGTCCCAGATGCCTTATGTGAATACGAAGAAAATGTATATGGAATTTCCCTCCCTCCCCCCTCTCCTATGCAAATCGTAACTCCCGTAATTCTTGGAATTTCGAACTAAAATTTTGGAAATACCCCCAGTTGGTTATTATGTGTCCGTATGCCACTAAGATCACTATGATAGACCGATTTAACGAGAAGTTATAGCCGTAAATATATTTGCTGCTGCAGCGCTGCTCAAGCGCTGCCCGCGGCTGTTGTTGACGCTGGTGCTTTGGTTGACTGCACACATGTTTACACAGACACGAATTGATGCGCATAGGCATACATACAATCACACAGATGCAATTGCTATGTAAATATGCAATTATATACCCCTTACGTGAGTTCGAATACCGAGAAAGGTAAAATCGATCAAATTTTTTTAAATTTTCTTATTTTTTTTTTTCTATAATTATTGTAAACATATGTACAGAGTATTTCAAAGTTGGGACACCCGACTTTAGCTTTTTTACTTGTTTTTTTATTAGCAGAGTGTATTTTATTTAAAACTGTCCATCGTGGACAATCATTAAATTGGTTAAGTAAACTTGATAATTTATTATTTCATTCAATTTGACGTTGTAATATCCGCTAGTCCCTGGGGAGGGTTAGAAATATAATTATAACTTGTTAAATAAGTGAATAAATGATTGGAAGTATTAAATTATTTTTTTCGGAGTTTATTTGCTTGCAACATTTCGTGAAATTTCTTCGTCCTATGTATGTCGTTTCATTTATTTGCTTTCTGTATGCACAATTGCTCGATTATTTATATTTATATTCAGGAACTGTTTCACGCTACGGCCTTCTGGCACACATTAATGTTTCATCATTATCAAACTGATATTGTCGCGTAGTCTGTGTAGAGGCGATTCCACACGCTTTACGCGTAATTTGTACTTGTCTAGAACATAATGATGTCACGTAAATTGCATACGTAGTACGTTGGTTATGTTGCGTATTTTTAAATTGGAAGCCTCGAAACGAGCATTGTTAGTCTAGCTTCCCACCCCTCTTGCCGTTGTATTAAAGTAAAATTAATATTACTCATACGCCAAAAAACTGCATGACTGCTTTGAATTCATAAGAAATTTAAGTCCATGCCATTTTCTCAACGCAACACAGATTTATGAATGTTACTAACTGAGCATTCATTTCCTTACCTTTATCCTGCCGTGTGGCAGCTGCCTCATACCTTTTACTCTGTTATTGCCCCAGTACAAGTAAAATGCTTCTTCCACTGCAAGTTACTGGTTGCCGGTTGCCAACAGTATCGTCGTCCACTGTCACACATCAGTAAATCAAGAGCTTCCTGTTTATTAAGCTTCATTCCCGCACTCATATATATCAAGCTTATAAATATTCACTTCCTCTTTACCATCGCTGTCCTCATCACTAGCGCTCGAAAAATTATTGCAAAAGATTAAAAGTAAACTCCATGAAATTTTACATAATCTTTGATAAAAAATTATATAAAATTATCAAATCATCAAATCATTTTTCATCATTAGATGAAAATTTTAAAAACCATAAACCAAACAATAGATAAACATATAGTGCATACAATTACTAACAAACCTACAATTGTGGTAGCTCCGGTTTGTTGTTTATCAGTATAGGCTAGACTTGGAGCGTACAGTTTCTGTTCGCTCGACTGCCTGATTATTATAGACAAAACTCATTAAATTGAAAAGCAATGAACTATGAAACAGCGCGTAGCTGTAACAACAACAGCTAAACGACTCATGCACTAATAAGTATCAAGAAAAAGTTCGTGGGGAAAAACTAATAATAATAACACGCAGCGTCGAGTTCGACTTGGTATTTATTTGGATTTGTTTGCCAACTAGAACCAAACTTTTCTCATTTGCTGAGGATGATAATAATGGGAGTCAGGATGTCGCTGCTTGCACACAACGTCTGAATCGCTGATTCAGTAAATATTTTTCCTATGATTACGCATTCGAATTGTATTGGCAGTTGCTGGCCTAGCACCAATTCGCAGAAAGCGGTCATTTTATTATACCTGCATGGGTTCTACTTGCATACTTAACCTTCCCTTTTATGAAAGTCGATCGGATTCTTACCGTATAAATTAATATCATTGTCCTGAGAGCGCCTACAAATATGGTACAAGAAATAAGAAAGCTCTGGTTAAAACTCGCCTAATATTTCCCTGATGTTTAAAAATCGACAAACTCAACCAAGCATTTAATGTCTTCCATTGCAGTGGTTAAAAAACAGTGACGGTCCGATGAGGATGCTGTTTCGCTTTTTCTCAGATTTCAATGTTATACTTTGAAGTAGCTGTAACAATGAGGCGACCAGATAGCTGCAAAAAACAGTATCAGGCCGCAATACCACGGACAGTTGTGTATCCACACATTTGTTGCACTGTGTGAAAATTAAAAAACTCTCCACTAATCCCAACAACCAAGCAAACACACCCCTCTAGCAGCGCCCTCCACGCAGACAAAGCCAACTACGACAGCAGCGTCTAAAAGTATACATCAACTTTTGCCTTTATTTTCCTCCACCACGTAGCAGTGGTAAATTCTTTAATCAGCTTAAATTCACACGTAGTACAAAAACGACGTACAGCCATTGATTGGGGGCTTTGGCTGCGGCTTCATCTTCGTCGTCGGCTTCCACCCACCTCGCAAAATTCTTTTTATCAAAGGCAGTTCAAAAGCAACGAGCGTATGTGTATTTAGGATTTTATTGTTTTTGACCTTTTTCTTATGCCTTACTTTGGGAAAATCGATTTCTTTTTTGGCATACACAGTTACACACTTCCAGATATTTTCTGCGCAGAAAAAACGGCCATATAAGACGAAAAGAAATGCAGAGCAACAACGGGCCAAAGCAGTAAAGTAGAATGAAAGTGAATCACAACGCACACATACACGTACAGACATAACAAACACAGCAACAAATGCAAAACTGACAGCTCACAAGTTCAATTAAGCGATATTAAGTATTTTTATGTCCAAAAATAGGTAGCATATTTTGTCGGTGTACATAAGGCTCGCTGTCCAAAACTGTCGACAAAATGTGTTTTAAAATTGAGGCCATTGCGTTCGACGCCGACTCCGTCATCTTCATATTCATCGTTGGCAGCGTTATTGTCTTCCCAGGTTTGTTTGTCTTAAATATTTAAGCATACTTTTGAGCTTGTGCGTCGTGAGCTATGTGTGGAGTGGTTCGAGTGTTTCGTCTGTGCATCATTTTTCTTCATGGTCGGGTCGCCGTCTGTTTGTATGTTTGATTTTTACGAGCGAGTAAAGCCTGTCAATTGGCTGAATGCCTCGTAAAAATGTCAGGAGAGCGGTCTGTAGGACTTCTAACGAAACAAAAAAGTAAAAAGAAAGATAGAAAAAACGATTTGTTATGTTTTACACACAC